CTGCCTCAGCCTCCCGAGTAGCTGGGACTACAGGCGTGCGCCACCATGCCCAGCTAATTTTTGTATTTTCAGTAGAGACGGGGTTTCACCTTGTTGACCAGGATGGTCTCGATCAATTGACCTCGTGATCCATCCGCCTCGGCCTCCCAAAGTGCTGGGATTACAGGCGTGAGCCACCGCGCCCGGCGAAACATAATTTCTAATAGCAAAATTGGTATTCAAACATTAAACGGAGGCATCTTGAGAAATTAAACATTTCTTTGAAAAGAATTAACATTACTTGCCTCATTTCTGACCCACGGTTTAGCTATGTTTTTATGCATGTAACAGATTTCCAAGTGTGGAAATGAATTCTTTGACACAGACATAGATTGATGCAAGGCCAGTCACCTCCATGTTAATGAGCCTATCGTACAGGCAGTGTGAATTGGGTGTCTCCAGGGTACAGTATCAGGGCTCTTGCTACCAGGCTAGGTGCAGGAGATGATATGCAGATTCAGGAGAGGATCCAGGGCTCATAAGGACATGCAGGTTTTGTTCTAAGCATTGGGTTTTTTTGGCTTTTTCTGTGTAAACTTCTCTTTTACCTTCCATTCAGAATGGCTCCAAATTCTTTCTTCAATAGTGGAAGTATTATTGTTAGTCAGGTTTTTTAATACTTAATAGTGGTCTGTGTTTGTGGGTACATGTGGTATTTTGGTGTGTGCATACCATGTGTCATGATCAGATCAGGGCGGCTGGGACATCTGTCACCCCAGACGTGCACCCCTTCTTTATGTTGGGAACATTTCACTTCCTCTCTTCCAGCAATTTTGAACAATGCAACAAATTATTGTTAGCTTTAAACACATGACTGTAGTATCAAACACTAGATCTTACTTCACTAACTATATTTTTGTACTGATTATACACACACATAAAGCAAGCCAGTGCATCATATAGGATTAACATACCCATATTTGATAAATTTCTTTGTTTCTACCTTTTCATGTTTATGCCTCTTCATGTGGAAAAAGTCTTATCCAGGGAGATTGCATGGGGCCTTAGAAATTGGCCAAGATTTCTAAGGCCCCACACAGTCTCCCTGGATGGAACTTTCTCTAAGCATTTCAGGAGGCTGCTCAAAGGAAATGTGGCTTGTTTTGGGAGGTCTGAAATGTTTTCAGATTTACTGTCTTGCAGGGATTTAAAAAAAAAAAAAACCAGACATATGGGGTTTCTTCATGCAAAAATCCCATCACATGTGGCTGTTGTCCCTGAGATCAAGAAGACCATTTACCTGCAGGATATATTTTTTTCCTTTTCTTCATACCTACCCTAGAATAGCTTTTCAGTTCCTCTGACAGAATGAAACAGTTTCCTTAGGAACTAAAACAGAAAAAAAGAATATGAATAGAAATGATGTATTACTTTCTTAAGCCGTTACCAGAGTCTGTTTCTGACTGGTGACTATGCATTCATTCTTTCAAAAGAACTTCTTAGGGCATAAATGTAGTGATTTTCACTGAAGCAACAAAGTGCATTTTTAGTTTTAGAGGTCTTCTCCTTTTTAATCCTCTTCCTAATAAGGTTATGGAGTTTATTTGGTTGGACCCTGAGCCCTCTGGCTCCGGGGGAACCTGGATTTTATCATTGTGAGTATTTATTGAGGCTGCACACGGAGCCCACAAAGAGACTTTTGTTGTTGTAATTGTGGAAGTTAAGAGCAGTGTCCGTGTCTTATTGGTAGCCACCAATCACCAATCACATGCCTTTGACAGGATACCTCTCCCAGTTAGGATCATGTTTTGTCTAGCAGGCTTAAGCCTCTTTTTAAAAAAATCTCCTTAAAAGCTAAGGAGATTTTACTTTTACAATGAATTGATTTCAGCAGATATACCAGAATATATTTTGAAATTGAAAATCTTTTTGCCTGCTAACTAATCTCAGAATCTAGTTAAGCTATTCAAGCAGACTGTTTACCTTATTAGTTATGCGACATATTGTACCAATTTTACCTAGGTCTCCAAAGACCCCACACCAACCCCCCGGAGCCTCTAATCTTTGGCCTCTGTTGCAAACTGATCTTGGGCTCATCTGTTAGGCACGTGAGCCGTTCTGATGAGGCAAGTTTTTTCAGATCAGACCAGTCAGTCAGTGTTCAGGGGCCAGCACTCTCTAGGCCTTACTGCCTTTGCATTGTTCTCTTGCTTTGATTTATTCAACATTCTCTATCGAGCATCTCCAATACCAGGCTTTGGGCTGGACACTGGGGAACCGAGAGGAATAAATCCCACGAGTAGCCCTAGGAGGCTCTCAGCCGACTACTAAAGACGAAAACAGAAACAAGTCATTATGACTCCATGTAGGAAGTGCTCTGCTGAGGTTCGGAGTCCTGGGGACGCAGAGAAGGAATCATCAGTCCCAGCCTTGAGCTTCGAGGCACCTACCTCTAACGGGTTTAAGGAAGGCAGTACCCTCAGCAGACTGGAAAGACACCTGCCGAGGGCAGCGTTGAAGAGAGATGGGGGCGGAGAGGACTGGAAGCCAGGAGAACAGTTAGAAACCAACAGAGTGGTTCGGTCAGGAGATCTGGAGAGCTGGAACTGTGCAGGGACAGTGACCATGGCGGTGGCTTTGAGAGTGACGAATGGCTCCGAGGCATCCTTTAGAGTTCCCACAGATAAGACTTGGCTGACTGGCTGTGCAAGTTGAGTCCGACTTTTCTTTCTTAGCCATTAAGTCACACTCTGAAGGAGCATTGGGAGTGCAAGAGGGCAGGTGTTTGGGGAGTCTGCGTGGGGCAGAGGGAGTGGAAGGGGCGAGCATTTGAAGGCAGAAAGATGCTGTCAGGTAAAACTGAAAGTGCTCAGAAGAAAACCCCAGACAAATCCTGAGCAGTGGCCTCTCCTGGTGAAGGAGCACCGTGGAGCCCCTTACGCCGGTGTCCTTGCCTGCCTGGCGTTCCGGTGTTAGCAGCAGCTGTCCCTCCTTCCCTTGCCCGTCAGTCACCGTGTTTGCATGTGCATGCTCCTGTGTTTGTTTTAATTTAACACTATTCCTCCCCCACGGAGCTACACAGTACTCGTTTTATAAATGTGACCTCGGCAATCTTTATTATCTACCCAAGCACAAATGACTTGTTTTGATCAAGAAAATAAATAGGCCGGGCACCATGGCTCATGCCTGTAATCCCAGCACTTTGGGAGGTCAAGGCAGGATCACTTTGAGCTCCGGCGTTGGAGACCAGCCTGGCCAACATGGTAAAAACCCACCTCTACAAAAAATACAAAAATTAGCCTGTGTGGTGGTGCATGTCTGTCTGTAGTCTCAGCTATGTG